TCACATCCAAATCAAAAGTTTATCACTACCGAATCACAAACTTATCGAACCGGCAATATTTGTTCGGACCATTTTTTACCAGATGTCCCAGAATTTATGAAAACAGCTGTAATAAAATCAATCCGAATTAATAATTTGCATTAGTATAACTCAAAGCACGGACGTAAGAACGTGCTAGTTAGCTAGTATTTAATATAATTATTTCTTTAAGATTATTTAATCTAAAGTTTACTTATTATTTTTCGCCATTCTAAAATATTTATGACATCTTAAAATATATAAATAACTTTTGCAACCTGAATTATTTTAGTCATTATAAATTATTTAAGGTTTAGACTATAGTTGTTAGGCGAAACCTAGAGGTTTTGCCACTGGCGAAAGACGAAACCTAATTTCGACTTTCGCCAAAAAAATTTTAAAATGGCGAAATGGCGAAAGGTGGCGAAACTGGCAAATGACGATTAATAATTCGACCAAGCCGGCCTGAATTAGCATAATGCAAAATTTCATGCGAATTATGCTTTATCAAATTACTGATAAATTTTGGCACCATATTTAAGATTCAGATTGGCTTACATTAATGCTAAGAGAAGGACTCTGAAAAGTTCTAAAGTAGATTATAAATGAATATAAAAAACGAAGCAAGGTTAGCCAAAAGATTTCGGTTTAGCCAATTAAAATTTTTATTCTTTGCGGTAACTTTGGTATTTTGGGTAAATTACCGAAAAATTATAAATTACGGTAATTCTAAAACTTTGCACATAATGCGCATGAAATTTGAAAAATCATAAATTTACCCATCTCTAGATTAACAACTATAATGTTCATACAAGCTATGGTAAGTAGAATTTAAAATATTTAGAATTTTAGAAATTTTAGTTTAATAAAAAAAAAAATTTAAATTATTAAAAAATATAGTGATCCGCATATAAATCAGTGAAAAAGTATAATAATAAGTGGAGGAAACAGGAATCTGGCACTGTTTATGAAATATGTGATTTTTTTACTAAGTAGACCTCTCTCGGGCTTCTAATAAAAAATTGTAGAGGCAGCCTTTCCGGTCCTAACGGTGTCAAAATTGCCAAAATTAGCCTAGATTACAAAGAAATATGCTTTTGAATCTTTCGCGATCATATGTTTTTCTTTGCAGATCTGCGCAATAAAATCGCGAAAATTCAAAGGCTCATTTCTTGTGTTCCACTAGGCCAATTTTAGCAATTTTACCACTGTTAGAACTGTAAAAACTGTCTCTACAATTTTTTGTTAGGAGATTTATTTAGTAAAAAACCCGTCTATTTCATGAACAGCACCAGATTTCTTTTTTTAATATCCACCCACTGATTAGTATACAAATCACGAATTAAACTAAATAAATAATTTTGTTTCTTTTAAAAAATTTTTCATCGAAATTGATTAGTCAGGTTATCGAGAAGTCATTTCTCATAGTAAATATCTATCAACGAAGATATCTCAAAACTACGTGATCAAATTCGATAGAATTTTTTTTTTTTTTTTTATGATTCTACAGATTAAAAAATGACAATAAAAAAAAAGCTCATTGAATTTGTTAAGTGGATTTTGTTCAAAGTTTTAAAAAAATTTGGCACATCTTCTATTTAGATGGTTTGAGTTGTTTGTTAACTTTTGAACAAAATATCTTGACAACCACCTAATTAATCTCGACGAAAAATTTTTATATTAATTTTGCTAATTCATAGTATTAAAATAAAAAAAAATTTCATTGAATTTGGTTAGGGTAGTTTCTGAGATGTCTTCGTTCAAAGTTTAAAAAACTAATTATATTTGATCTTTCAAAGCTAAATATCTAGCTAATGAAAAATACTTTTTTGTTTATCTAGTTTAGTTCAGCCTTTATTAAAGTTTAGTTACCATTTGTTTCGTATTTCACTCATCAGAGGTTTCGCCTTTTGCCAGGGGTTTCGCCTTTGCCAGGGGTTTCGTGTTTCGTCACCTTTTGTCCTTTCGCCGCTCAGGTTTCGTCTTTCGCCATTTTTGAAAAATAGTTTCGCCTAACAACTATAGTTTAGACTATCTAAAATAATTTTCGCCATTTTAATTTACACTTGCACATTTTGTGCCAGGGCATGCGAATTTTGTGATTTGCTGTGTTCAAAGTAAATCACAATAAATCACAGAAAACATCGATTGCAAAATGTGGTATTAATTGCTATATCGATAATAGTATGGTCAAATTTAATAAAATCTTATATTTTTATAGCGTTAGTTCAAAAAAAATTTGCATTTCTCTAAAAAAAAAAAAAAAAATTTCATGCAACTTATTTTTTTAAAAAAATTGTAAGTTTTTTTGTTTTTTTACGAGATAAAATTTTAGATATTATGTTATTAAATCGGTACTTTAATTTTAATCAACAGTTAATCACAGTAAATCACATAATTTATTGTTACGTATCACAGATTTCGCATGCCAATAACAATGCCTGGCATTTGTACCCATACCTGTAATAATGCCTGGCACTTTTGTGCCTAAGGCATAGGCATGGCATGAAGCACTAGTGCCTGGCCTGGTGCCAATATGCCAGGCATGGGCATTTGGAGACCCCTACTCCCTAAGGAGGTTTATTTTTTATTTTTTTTTAAAAAAAAAGATAGATAAGCAAAGCAAATATGATATAAATTTCGATAGTAAGAAATATTCAATAATATAGAATTACAGCATCTATTTTCTATAGTATCTTTTCTATTTTACATTTGATACTATGCGGATAAAGCCACTTTCACATACCAAATTTGAGCGTCTACATCTACAAGAATTGTTTTTATATTTGCAAAAAAATAATAATTTCAGTAATAAAAATCAGAGATGTTAAATAAATCCTGTCCAGACTGATGTTCCATCCAAAGACCGGGACAGTTTGGCGCAGTCTACTGGTCCCCGATAAATATAAACTGCATGTGATTCTTACTAATAAAAAAATATAATATAAATTATAAGTGGTTTATAATGGCTTCATAAACTTTTTTGTAAACATAACTAATAATCTTATTTTGTTTTTATATTTTATGAATTTTTTTGATTAGATATTAATTATCATGATTTTATTCCACTGATTAACGTTAATAAATCAACTTTATACTCACACACCAGAAAGGTATTGGTTAATTAATTGCAAATGAGTATTTAGAGATAAACCTTATTAATAATTTTGCTAAAAATTCATTACATATCCACATAACGAACGTATTCGAAATAATCACTAAATATTTTACCTAGCCAACCACACACTTAACATTAATCCTAACTACTAAACTACCAAGATCAACACTAACTATGCGATGCTGCATTAGGGGTTAGAATTGATAGTAACCAATACTTCTAATTATGGCAAGAATCTTATGTGACAAATAAAACAATATCAGCGACACCAGAAGCATCAAATATGAAATCCACCCTATAGGCACTACAAATAATGGTGACACCCACCTATAACGACAGTGTGAAACTAACACCGAAATGGCTACACCAAAACAAATAGCATGAGCTGAAACCAACGATGACTGTGGAAAGAAAAATGGTGAAGTTAGATATGAACAACAAAGAAAAAAAACACCAGAAACACTAGAAGCAAATCAAGCGATGAAACGCAACATAAATAACAATGACACCCACCTTATGATGGCAATCTGGCGCAAAACTGATGACTTCAACAACGTCGGCTCCAACTGTGACAAAATTAAGCTCTTAATCGTTATCTGAAAAGAAGAATAGTCTAAAAAAAATTTAATATCTAACAAGCAAAAAAATTTAAATTGCATTATAAAATTCTGCAAATACTTTTACTCCAACATGAAAAATTTTAAAATCCCAATGAGATTATTTGTTATCTAATAAATGTCTAGTAAGAAATTATATTTGCAATTTGATATAAAAAAAGGTTTATTATGCTTTTATCATCCTATAATACCACTGAATTTTGCTAAATCGAGAATATTATCGCAAAAATGTAAGATTTTAGCAAAGTATTGTTCATGATTTTAATTCCACTAATTAAAATGTTAATAAATTATCTTTATATCATACTCGTAATATTTGAGGGTATTAGATAATTAATTGCAAAAAAGTATTTAGAGAATTTTGTAATAATTTTTTGTTATATTCATTATTTTAATGCTACCTTTTTTACTTAATCAAAAAATTTCACTTATATACGTAATTAGTTTAATAATTGGTCCATCCATCCAATCCAACTTTTTGGTCTTTTTTAATCCTGAACTGTAAATTTTAATTATAAAATTTTTAACATATTATCGTATAAAGATAATTAAAAGGGCATATAGTAAGTATAAATTCTGGCTCATCAATTTGAGTATTTGAATTGGTTTCAGTTTTAGTTCGCGAAGTTGAAAGAATTTTTAATTCAATATCGATTTTTCATGAGTTCTTAAGTTTGTATTATTGGGCTCATGAAGTACAGCACTAATAAGATCAATAAGATGGAAAATAAGGTTTTACATCGTCTAGCAAGAGAAGAAATTTATTTAAATCTTTAAAACTTGTTTAGAAATAAAATAATGCTATTCATGAGTTGATATTTTGATTTAGAGCCTTTGCAAAACTCAATAAAATAATAAAATACGATTACTTTAAAGACTATCATTGAAAGTTATTTTTATTTTATTTAATCAGTTTTAAAATTCGAAATCCATTTAAGTGAATTCAGAATTCTAAATCTACCTACAACATTTACAAGCCAGTGTTAGAATATGAATGTTATTAGTGAAGTAATTGATAACTGATCTTTTCAGAGATAAAAGGAATCTTTATTTAAATATTAATTTTGAAAAAGAGGTTATCTTCTATTTTTCTTTACTTTTCTATATATAATTCTCCATCTTATCCTTGAGTAGTTATCCTACTATATCATAGCAGTCCTCATGAACAATAACTTATAAAGCACACAGCTTATCCCTTAATTAGCTTGTCTTATTTCTACTAATGATTTTATAAAGTTTTCTTATGAATTTGGAATATTCCTCAACTATAATAATTACACCTGCAACATCTATTTCCATTAAAATTTTCATTATCTTTATTGAAAATTTTATACATGACAAGATCGCCAAAACATAATTCAAAATCTTTATCATTAAAAATCGCATCTTCTGGTCTCAAAATAGAATTTTAAATTGTTTTATTTTTTTTTTCATTAAAAAAATAAAACTCTCATTGCAATACTTATAAATGATCTATCCCATCCAATTGGATTATATCCACAAAGAATTTCATCAGAACTTTTAACTTTCATAATCACTAATTTATTACATAATTTCCAAAATGAATTAGCAGTAAAACCATCTCTACTTTCACGAAGAAGTAAATTAAATAGAATATAATTGATCCTTGTTATTGATCCATGAAAATAATTTCAGCTGAGTGTAGTTCATTAATGACGGTTGAAAATGGCTCTTTTATCCTAGGTGATAATGATGATGTTATAATAATTTGAGGAGGAAGAATTATTGATGATATTAATTTATTTTGAGGCATAAATTTTTTAATAATATCATTCCAAAGTTTTTTTTTTCTAGGATTTGATAATATGGTAGTACATAGGTATCAATGCCATCATCAGAGATTTCGGGATTAGATGATAAACTAGAATTTTGAGCAATTCCCCATTTGATTACATAGTTCCAAATCTTCACTTCCTCCATCTGTAAATCGTCATAACTAATAAGCGAGATCAATGCACTTTCTTGAAGAGAAGTAAAGTCTTCAGAATCAAAGATTTTATCTGGATATTTTGCAGCAGTTGTATTGCGCCATTGTTGCAATTCTTGAAGTTTAGCATTCTGAAAACTTCTTTGGTAAATTTGGGAAAAATTTAAGCGAAGCCAAGACTTGGTTTCAATTAAATAATTTTCGAGATGAGTGGCTAATTCTTCAAAGAGTAACTCATATGCAACAAGCATGAGTTTAAAAATGAAAGATTTTCTAATAAAATAACTCGACCATAGATATATCTTTTCACAATTTTTGAAATTTGAAGATATACTATTTTTCATAGGAGTATAAAATAAATACTAAACAACAGTACATACTTGATAATAATTTCAAATTGTTGAACAGATATATTTTTTAATTTAATCGGTTTAATTTTGTTACTATCTTCACCAATTTATTACGAAATAATAGAGACCGACATTTTAAAACAGCTGAATGTGTATGTAATATTTTAGTATTTGTAGATTCATCGACGACGTTAATAATTAAATTGCTGTCCTCATGATCATCAAGAAGATTAAGCTACATTTCAAAGTTCAGATGAACGAATCTACGTAATGTACTTTTGAATACGACATGCTCAAAAAGGTTTTTCGAATCAGAATTACAATTAGTACTGTCGGAGGTTCTTACGTTTTCTCCGCTCAAGAGAAATAGGGCGACAACGTCGCTTCAAAATCCAAGACGCGGCGTAACATGACACTACTTAAAAGAGAGACGGGATTCGATTTGGCATGGTCAAGGCGATAGCGAAACGTTAGGCAAAGATGAGTGTTTCTTTTATTTATTTTATTTCGGTTTTTTATTAGGTTAATACATGGATCGATTCTTCTAATACTAACTGCTTCCGTTTTCTCTCTAAATTTACATTTCTTTTATACATGTTTTAGATACACAGGAAACGTAACAAAAAGAAAGAAAAAGAATTTTAAACGAAGGTTTCACTTCGTTATTTTAATGAACAACCTTAAAATTTGTCATGGCGCTGAGACACAGCCACGAACTTATCCCGATATGGTAAATTTAGCCCATTGTAATCTCTAAGCCGCATCTTTGACAATCGAGTTAAACATCCAACAGTGTCGCGGATCCATTTAGAGCTACCCCAGCAGGACCATGAAAGATCGGCGCAGATGCACCAATCAGATCTCTTCTAACAATCGACTTCTATGAAAGCGCACCAACAAAAAAAAAAAAAAAATTCTCTGCAAAATTTTAGTATAGAAAAAACCCTAACTTCGGTCATAACCCTAACCCTAATGTAAGTTTTATTACTTTAAAAATTAGAATAAACAAAATTATCTAGTATACAAAATAGCCAAAATACTCAAAGTAATCAACATAATCAAAATAATCAAAAGGGCAGTCTTAGAATTAAATAGTTTTAATTTTCTGTATTTGTCTTTGTACTTATTTAGTATATCTCTTAATAAAATGAAGGGCAAGATCATCTAAGTATATAAAAAAATCAAAATACTTAAAATATACGGAATAAGCAAAATAAGCAATCAATTACACATGCTGCGTCTCTTGCATCTTGATCCTGTGATATATGACACACTACTTCAGGTTCACAATAGTAAGTATAAATTCTAGCATATTTTCATTTTTTGTAACTGTAATAATTTGAGTATTGGTGGTTTTATTTCTAACTCGCAAAGCTAAAATGTATTTTTAATAAATATGGATCTTTTGTGAGTTCTAAGTTTGTATTATTAAGTTCATGAAGTATTGCAATTAAAGATAGGCAAATCGTGAATTTTTAAAATTTTCTGTATAGGCTGCGCAGCCTGCACATGAAATGCGCATATCATATAGTGTTTCAGAAAAAATTATTTTTTAGTTTCACCCTATAAGTTCAAAATTAATTTCGTCTAATTTTGATATGCAAAATTGAATTTTGCCTGAAATACTAATTTCATCAAAAATTTTTTGAATCTACTACAGCTGCTACTTCATGGCATATTCTCGATTTTGATTGGCTAATGACTATGATCAACAAAATTTTGGCTCACGTTACATAACTTATGTAATTTTCAGCTTAATTAATTTTTTATTATTCAAAAATAGAAATTTTAAGAAACTAGGCCTGCTCTATATAAAATTAATCCAGAAAAATTTTTCACTTAATGTTAATATGTAACTATAAAATTTGGGTAATTTTGACCTAAATTTTTGATTGTCACTCTTAGCCAATTCTAATTAACAAAAAGAATAGTATTTAAGATACTAGTCAAAAAAATTTCACAGATCACGTGACTGATTTTCACGATATAGTAATATTGTCTATTAATTTCTGGAATAAGATCTGTTATCCTTTGCTTTGCAAAGAATAGTTTATGTTTTCGCTATAGCTATCACCTCCACTTTAGCATTTTTTTTTTTTTTTTTTTTTTTACTAAACATCTAAAAAAAAACTTTTAATTGCATAACTCTAACTCTAAGTTTAACAAAAAGAACTTTAAATTTAAAAAAAAATTTTTTTTTTTATTAATTAATAATATCAGTTAGAAAAGAATTAGTATATTTATATATCAGGATAGTATATATGTGAAGCTAATTTATATTCCTAATATGTACTGTTGTTACTAAGTCTATTTGAAAATAGTTAGGTATTCAATATGATATTACATCTTTATTTTCTATTTACTAGCTGATTTAAACAAAAGTTACTATTGATTATAGAAGAGGTTAAGAGAGACCTCTGAGAAAAAAAGAATATTAATTAGAAAAAGTAATTATATATAGAAAAATTTTAAAGTAAATATTTTTGAATATAAGTATCTATATTAGTATTATAAGTTGTAGTTAGAAGTTGGAACTAGTTTTATTAATTCAGGTTTATTACATGAATTTTGTGATATTTTAGAATTTATTAAAATTTAATTGGATAAATTTCTAAAATATCACTAAATTCATGTGA